GCCCTGAAGATGATCTCAATAAAGATCGAAACGTTGGCACGATAAAGAAAATGTTTTTCTGAAACCTACATCACACCAGACCGCATCTCACGATTTCTAAATAAATTAAAATAAGTATTTTTTATTATTATATAGTTCCTAATTTTAATCGTAGTCAATTTTCATATGGTCTTCTAATATCACAATTATTTGATATGTACATATTTTTTTCAAGGGTGATGCAGATGAAGAAGAAGGAGATGGCGCATCGTCTACGCCTTCAACGTTGGATCTTCAAACCGTTACTGTTCCTATATCCATTTGCCTAGCAATTATGGTCCTGTAAGTAAACGATTTAAGTTTTCGCTGAGTCGCGAATGAGTTGGAACAGACGAACAACAGAGAATTGATACTAGAGGAGAAATTAAGCTGTCTCTTAGTTTACGAAAATAATTGGAAATTTTCCCTTGGAAGGGGGGTTGTAATGATGTTTGGCCCGTGGTGAAATTGCCTTTCACGTCGCCGGACCTAAGTTTTTCAACGCCGAATGCAATCCTGTTAACAAACGGTTAATGCCCGTAGAAATATAAAGCGGGTTGGAGATTGGGTTGGTTTAATTACAAGGGGCTCGCCCTCCTCTCGCCGGCAACGGTCAGGTCCAGCTCTCCAACCAATTCGTCAATAATTGTTACTGGGTGGTGCTATTTCTCTATCTTGGCCAATAAACCTTCATTAACAATGGCCTGACAAATAGGATTTCTTTTTTTCTTTTTTTTTTTTGTCACCATTAACTTCAGAGAAGGTTGGTTAAATGGGTAAAAGACGATATATTGTCGAAGGGTGGACTGGATAAAATCGACTCTGTTTTTTGTCCATTTCCGATTGGGTGTTTGCATTTCAATTATGGAATTATTTTTATCAAAAAGCCAGTTTGGATTTCCCACTTGCTTTCAGTAAAGGATGCACAAAGTAAACAAATCCGTAACATTTATGACGCATTTTCAGAACGTAAAGCTGTAGTATCGCTCTTTATTGACATTTGACAGCATTGATCCCCAATTATTAGAATTAAACTCCCCCTTGATATAGGCTAAATGCAGGCCCTTACTGAACATTCCCGGGACTTTCACAAGGAGGAATTCTCAGCCGTCTTTTACGCGAGTAGCCAACGATGTATGCCTCTACGACAAACAGTGATTGATAGAAGTACGTACCTAGTCGAAGTTAGGCCCCAGTGGGTGTCAACATATCGTTCATTTCATCCCGAATATTTTTTTTAATATACTGTTTTCTCAAGTAGGTTAGTGGAATAGTCGATACGCTCCATATTTAGTGTTACGATTTGTTAATTTTAATTAAGAATAATTAAGTTGGCTCTGGCTATTAAGATGGATTTGCACCTGCTGGGCACTCGGCAGATTTGCTCAGAATTAGCCGGTGTTCCTTAGAGTAAGGTTGGTGAGATTATATCCTACCCTCCAGACCGGACCATCACGACTAGGCCCTCTGACGCCAAGCTAGCAGTAAAGACCATGATAAAAGAAAGATGGCAGCGTCAGTGGGCCGGGTCGTCCGAAAGGCTTTTGCGCGTCAAGAGCACGATTTGTAGATGGCCCCCCGAGAACCAGAGCCGGAAACAAGGAATCGTCCTTACGTGATTAAGAATAGGCCATACACGGTTGACTCACGGGCACCTGCTCTTGGGCCAAAGCCCGCGCAGGTGCCCCTTATGCAGAGAATGGTTGCTCGATGTGTCCCACATACTGAAAACATGCCATGCCTTGGCTCCCTACAGGGAGCGTGTAGGCTTGCCATCCAATGTGAAGAATGAACTCGAGCACTGCAACGAGTTTCAAGGTCCCCTGTTCCGCTTTTTAGGGGAAATTGTTTTTTTTATTTATATAGTATGACTCATGTGTTGTGTGTCTATATGTTTTGCCTGAGTGCATGTATTTATTAGCGTGAATGGCGAGGGGTGAGGGTGAAATATAACANACCAGACCGCATCTCACGATTTCTGAATAATTATCGATTAACGGTCACTAATCACCACACATTTGTACAAGGGGCTGATTTTTCTATAAAAAGAGTTAAATTGAGAGTTTAGCACCTTTTCTAAGTCTATTGAGTAGAGATTATTTTCCACTTCGACAAAATACTTTCTTTTTCGCGTTTTAGCCGTTCAGGGTCGTAAAGGCACATCTTGTTACAACCTATACCAATCAGTAACTTTTGCAATGTTAGAACCAGTCCTTATAATTTACTTCTAAATCACATGCTGATGAATTAGCCTTATGGAAGACATCATGAAAGGGACTTCTCAAAAGTGAACCATTTTCCGTGCTCAATACTTTTATCCACAGATTCAAAATTCTTTTTAGCAACTGCACAGTAATGGGCTCAAGTTCAAGCTCAATCCTCACATAGTGACTAGGAGTATTTCTGGGCAAACGATTGCTTAAAATACCTTAATTGTAATTTATCCATTTCGTTAAAATGGCCAGGCGACCACAATTCCACAGAACGGATGAGGCAGCAACAATAGAATCAAATAGTCTCTTTTTCGTTTCTAATGAACGCGATCTACCCTTTATTAAGACGTCTCTAGACTTCCTAAGTGCTCTCAAGCCTTTATTAAATGAATTCTTCACTGCTGAGTTGAACTTCCAACACAACTAAATGTTACACCTAGATATGTAAATGCGTTAACATACTCTACGCACTCACGACCAAAATACAGCTTTCTGGAGTTAAAGCTTTAAGAAACGCGTAGGAAATATTATCAAATCCAGGAGATTTGTTGTTTTTACTTGCAGATAAACAACTCTGCAGCTCAGCTAACGTTATTTCATTATCAAGAATTGGATGCCCAAGATTATAATATGAGTATGATACCGCCACTTCGTCTGGATTTAATTTTTAAAAATGTATTTTCCATTTATCAGGATCAATAGAATTGTAATTAAGCAATTTAGGAGAGGACTGTTAACAGTTAACCAAAAATGTTTGGAATCCTTTACATTAGCAAGCCGATCGGTTAAGGTCTGGCCATTTATTCTTCTTTCATTTTTTTAATGAGAACTTTATATTCTTTCTTGCAATTAGAATATTTCATAAAACAGTCGGTACTATAACAAGACGTTTTAAGGTTTTTATACAATTTACTTTTTTTTCTTATTTTTACAATCCTCAATAAACCAAGGGTTTCTATAACTAAATGTATTCAGGGATTTTCGGGTAGTTTTAGTAATTAACATCCCTGCTGTTTTGGCCGCATCAGTAACAGCATGAATAAAATTCTTATAGTTATCATGTTGTGTCAGGATTATCAAAATATATATTTTTGGATTCGGACAGTGCTTCTTGGAATTTAGATTTGAATTTATTCCCCCATATAAGGCGTTGAGAAGTATAATTGGAATCATATTTAAGGGATCTAGTGGAATCCTGAGTAGAATGTGGGGAATACATTTCTAAAAGGCAAGCCTTAAGCCAGGAACACACTTACCTGATGCTACCCGACGCCTTGCCACGTTTTGGTGGGGTGTGCACATCTATCCGACGCAAGCACACGTCGCGTACAGTCCACAGCGTTTATCACAATAATCACTATCACAATCGCAACGCATCTTTTGTTCTTAATGCACTATTTTGAGCAAAACCTTGTAATAAATTGTTAGTTAAATTTTATGAGCACAACCATCTAATAAATTGTTTGTTAAACTTAATTGTTTTAAATAAAGTTACTCCTAACCATCATAATTAAACAATGTTTATAAAAACTTATGCATTTTTGATCTCGTTTAATTTGGTTTACATTAAAATAACATGTTGTAATTAATATAACGACAAAATTACATGTACTTAGTTTGAAATAAACTACAAAAAATATGAGTGTCCTGTTCTGATGCTACCCGACATTACAAAATGGTGTAATTTTACGAGCAAAACTATGAAATAAATTGTTAATTAAATTTTATGAGCAAAACCGTGTAATAAATTGTTCCAATTTTAGTATATGTACCGCCGAAGCGAGTACAATAAATTGTTAGTTAAATTCATTATATCAAAAAATCGTATTCCGGTGTTTTGATTAATTTTCTACCAAACCATTAAAATTAATTTTTTAAATAAAAACTAATTAATTTTTAATCACAGTTAATTTGGTTTATAGTAAAATAAGTATGTTGTAATTAATATAACGACAATAATACACGTAGTTTGAATAAAAATATGAGTCATCGGTTCTTTTGTCTTCGACTGTACTCGATGCGACCAGACGAAAATCTGGACAGTGGGGATCGCAGAGCGTCGGGTAGATGTGCACGGGGGTAATGCAACCTTACGGAAAATCGGAATTTGGATTTGCGTCGGGTAACGTCGCATGGCGTAGCATCGGGTAAGTGTGTTTCTGGCTTTATGGTCAAATAGGTCCGACACATTAATGACCTAAAAGTCTTTGACTAATCCTAAACCAATATGATTAACCCAAACTAAATTTACTACACTCCTGCCAACCGAAGAGACGAAGGTAAAATTACCAGGTATGTCCGATTTTGTCCTACCATTGCATACTTCCAGATCTAAACTCTACATAATTTCCAGCAATATTTTTCCTCTTTTATTTAATACAGTATCGTACGAGGTCCTCGGATGGGAAAGAGAAGTGTTTTGAAAGTTAAAGTCCAAGGAATGACTTCGATTAAGTCAGGACACATAGAGCAACCTTTCTGTACAGGTCGGAAACATACTCCATAAATGTTTCTGTATTTTGATCTAGTAAAGCTTATTTGTAGTCGGGTAATCTTCGGTTCAGATCCTCCGAAGGCTCTGTCGTTCCGGACAACCAACGCTGCAATTCCTTTTTCTCTCTGGGGGTCACTTCCGATGGTATGGATGTCAGTGTGAAGTCAATTTGACGAATATTTAGGAAATGCTAGCAAATAGACACCAATCGGAAAAAGGCGCAATAAGAGAAGTCACTCTCTCGTCAAAACGGTGCAACGAATTGGCAATCCAAAGGTATAAACATCCTCAGAGAAGATTCATTTTCTTCCCCGCTCCAGTTCACATCCGTCCATTTTCTTTGGACTATTTAAAAAATGTAGTGTATTACAATGTTACGCTATGGACAGATCCTCTCGATTAGATCCTGAAACTATTCTACCCTCATTGAAGGACAAACTAAACAAAGTTCATTTTTTAACTTGCTTAAAAGATGAAAAAATTCTAGGTTTAGTTTGTTTGAGAAAACATTATTTCCAGTAAGTTCACATCCCGTACTAAGAAAAAATGAAAATCATGTCAGAATGATTCACCCGCAATTGGTTTAGACCTGATTGATCTTTTCGTCTAGGAGTAATGCATGTTAGGAAGTTTGTTGACTCAGTCTGCCGGTGGCTGAACCAGAGTTACTATCGATCATATAATGAATGATCCTAGAGTGTTTACGACTCACAGTACTACGAGACCGACTGACTCCCTTCTGATAGTGAGCAACACGGCCAATGACTAGCAATCCAAACTGTAATATTTTAATCTTTAACGATATTCTATTATTACTTTTTTTGCATACGCGTCTGACAGGACTAAATAGCGAGGCTAGGCAGAATGATTGATATCNGCTTCATTTCTTGGTGTAACAAGAGATTCAAGGTATGTCAGTTGGACTGGTTTATGGAGGGATAATTGTTTAAGTGCCTCTTCTAAGCTGAACCATTTCCTTTAACGAACAATACTCCGTGAGTCTTCCCATTCGGGAAGTTCTTCAGTGACTACCATTACAAAAATTTCAGTCCTATGCTTTCTTTCATCGTTCTCAAAAACACCTAATCGCCTCCCAAGTACGCCTAACACTCCTGCTTCTTCTACAACCTCCCTCACGGCAGTCATAGAGGTTCTTATTCGGGCTCGACTCCGCCGCCAGGTACAATCCAATGATCTGGATGGCTCGAAGAAGTCACAAGCAAAACCTCGTTTTCTGATTCACTTTTAACGCATATGCACGCGGCTCTCGTCCTGAAGCCGTCCTGGTCGTATATTCGAGTGGATCCGGTCTTTTCCTTCACCATGCCGTCCAGCTTAGAAAAAAGCTCCAACTCCGAACAACATGAGAAAAGACGGGGTTGGTGGGAAAAAAGAGAAAAAAAAAGAAAAGGCGAAGAGAGAACACGCGACTACAATAAACACAGGGTGAACTCCATAGTTTTTCCTTTCTACGTCAAATCCCTCTTTTCATGATGAAAAGTCAGCCTTGGAGGCGGGTTTTATTCAAAGGTGAATGTAAAAGACCGACAGCGGGGAGGAAAAACGTCGCGAGCGGGGAAAATCGAGAGAAATCGAGGAGAAGAAGCGGCTAAAGGTCTATCGAAACGAAAATAAAATTAAAAAATAAAAACTCGACTCGGTGCGCAGCATTTAACCACTACTCTACCAAGGATGAGACACTAGGAATACATAATTGCAATTTGATCCATGGCACAGCTTCACACTTTGCCGAATGCACAGCCGAACGCTGACACCGAGTTGGAGAAGGCGAATGGCGATCGACACAGCAATGGGTTAAGTATGACTCTCGCTTCAATAGGATTGCATTCAAAGAAGGTCTTAAATGATAATAGGCCTCCTGGCTAGATTAGATGATTAGAAAGGCATATACCTTCGGACTAGCAGAAACGAGCCTGAGCAGATGTCAAAAAAAAACAGGCCTAACCAGGTTGAGATCGGAAAAAAAAGAGATAGGCCTAACCTGGTTGAGATAGAGGAGGCTGAAAAATTGGCCAAGAAAAGGTTAGTAAGGTCACCTTTCGTTTTTGCGGAATATTAAATACCTTAAAACGTATATGCATCAGACATTAGGTTAAGTATGAGCCCTCGATTCAATGGGATTGTATTTAAACGAGGACTAGAATGATAGCAGGCTTCCTCACTGGGCACTCAAACTCCAAATATAGACTCGGACCAGTAAAAAGGCTATGCAGATGTTTGCACATAGAAGAAGAAACAGGGATATGCAGACTGAGATTGAGGAGTTTGATAAATTGGCCAAGAATAGTTAAGAAAAGTCCTGAACCCTTTCGCGGCATATCATATTCCCGAAAATGTAAATACAAATGCGATCACGTTACAATGGAAATTTTATTGAGATGCAAAGACTTCAGTCACCCTGTGTTGGATTAAAGGACACTCGGGCATCCAAGAAAATGCAATTGTGGATCGGTCCGTGAAGGAAGCCGGAGTAAACGGCTCTTTCTACGACTTCAAAATGATCAAGTGCGATGCCAAAAGGGCATTAAATGGAGTGTGGCTCTGCGATTGGCACCGGCTACATGACGGTTCCCAGGGAGGGCAATTATAATGATACGGATTCCCATGGTGCCTAGGAATCCATGGTTTCAGAGTGTAAGGGTTCGGGTCGTTTTTTTTCCACGGTAATGCGAATACGTACAAATCACGGGTTATGGGGCGCGCATAGATTCAGAAAGGACCGAGAGACAGCCAAATTGTGCGACTTGTGATCAACGGGAAGACCTCAATCACTTTATTATGGAATGCCCGGAACACGAGTAGAGGGGAAACATTTTCCTGGAGAGGATCTTTTCTTTGCAGTGTGTAGTAAAATCATTCAATTTGGAGCCCCTAATTTCAGAAGGTAGAGACGACTTACATACTTCTATATCAATTTACCAGGGGGGGGGACATAGATATTTGATCAATCAACGCTCTCGGGGAACTCAGTGCTTTGAGGCGCCCCCGTCGCTTCTGTATATGAATGACTTCTCTCTCCGGAAAAATTTTGTTCTTTTTTGACTTTTGAGTCACGAAGTTGTTTCTGACTTTTGTGTTGCGTTGTCTGGGGTGTTGGGGCGACGGGGTGCTGCGGCTGCGGGGTGGGGTGCTTCTTGTGTTTTCTGGGCAATAAAAGCCCCGAGCGTAGGGAGACGTGGACTTTTCCATATAGGTTTGTGTAAATCGTTTTTATCTACGTCTTCCAGGTGCCCTCGTAATTTAAAAAAAGCATGGTTTCTCCTCGCCGGTTACCCCCGCTTCATAGCCATCCCGGATTGACGGCATGGCTGATGGCGGTTGCACAAAGCCAAAAACATGTAAATCCATCATACAATAGGACTGCTCTCTAGACACTGCAGACTCTGAAGGCATATAGACTCGGACCAGCTGAAAGAATGTGCTGATATTGCCAGAAAAGTAGACGATACTTAAGCAGACTGAGATTCTTATTCCTGGGAGAGGAAAAGCCATGGCCTGAAGCAAGAGCCTTAACAAAGATCTGGTAAAAAAGTATTAAGCTTAAAGATAGAAAGAGGAGATTACAAAATAGACCAATATTGGTCTCGGTTGCGTAAGTTCGTAAAGAGGGCGACTCCTTTTATCCTTAACCTTAACCTAGCACAACTATTTAAGTTTAGAAGAGCACCTCAGGCTAATATTATTATCATAGACGTTGATGAATGATGCTGGTTTTAACTTTCTTAACCCTGAATTCTTTCAAGGGAGAGATGACCAAAGTGGCTGTTCCTTTTTAATTAAAATTGGTCTAAATTTTCTTTGAGAGACCCGATGACACTAGGATAACTTAGCTAATGTGATGATAATCTATCCAATTATCAGTTTATCCTTGTTTCAGATATGTCTGCGGAGGGGCTATGCTGTTCGCCAAATGGGAAAACTGGGAGCTCCTCGACGGCGCTTATTTCTGCTTCATATCGCTAAGCACCATCGGCTTCGGAGACCTCGTCCCGGGTGCCATGATAAGAAGCAGGGAGGGCGTTGTCGAGCTAGAGTGAGTTTTTTTTTGTTAATCATACCTTGTTATGTATTTAAACCTTTGTTTTATTCTAGGTTCATATTTTGCTCAACGTACCTCCTCCTCGGCATGGCCCTCATCGCCATGTGCTTCAACCTTATGCAAGAAGAGGTCGTACACAAACTCAAGTCCTGCTGGGGAACTGTGAAAAGGATACTGCGAATAGCGCCGTAATATAAGAGTGTGACTGTCTTTGTTATTATTATTTATGCCTTTTTTTATAGGATTCACTTGCGATTGTGTATAAATTTGTTAATAGCGGGCCGATTTTTTTTCATTCGTATTCCGTGATCGTTTCTAGATTTTAAATAAGAGGAAAATCATTTTGTTAATAGTTTGTTTAAGGCATTTTATACATATAGATTATATTATTGAACTTTAAATTGAAAATAAGACATAAAATTGTTTCTGTAATCACGTTTTTGGTCAAAAATCCATCTTTTTTTCCTCCTGAATATTAGATATTGTAATTATCCGGATATGGGTTCAAGTCCAGCTCGTGCCACTAATTTGTCAACTTAACCATACTTTGCATATTATTTAAAATAATTACTTTGGTTAATTGGACAAACTAAAAACATACAATAGATTAGGTACTCTGTTTTATTATTTCAAGAAAAAATATGGATTTTTGTCTCTTTTTGTTTAAATATTTCTATGTGATAAATGATGTATGATTGAGTTATTCTTTGAACTGTTTGTATATTAGCCGAAATGAAAAAAAGTTCATATGTGAGATATATTGAGGACATTCCCTTCTGAATCACTTACTATGTACATCTGTGACAATAATGACTAAAATAAATAGAGAGAGAAAGGTTTGTAAACAAAGCCTGAAGAGCAATATTAATAAAGGGCTCGTCGCTTTTGATAAAAAATGATTGTTTGCCATACGCCTCACAAAAACAGTAGTAAGTAAAACTTTTACATATTCATCAGTCATTTTAAACACACTGGGAAAATATTTCTTTCCAAAAGAGTTCCATTTGCTTAAAAAAAATGCAGATTAAATTATTATTGTTTAGAAAATATTGACTAAGGAACATATGTCTATTGTACGTTCCAACTTCCTAACAGCGCACACTTTCGAGAATGGGATTTGATCCGCTTGAAAGAAGAGTTTACATATAACAAAATTATTAGATCCATTAAGTGAAAATAAAGACAAATTCCTTTTCGTCATGGACTTGTATGACCGACCTTTTCTCTAGCAGAATCTTTCTTTTCGCACTCCTCTCCAAATCAGTGTCAGTCACTATGACTGACTCTGAACTTGGGAAGCTCCGAAGATGTAATGCTTGCCTATAACCCTAACCTTCAAACCCTAAACCCTGCATAACCTAAACATAACCCTACGCCTATATAACCTAACCTACCTCAACCCCCAAAAGTGTATTCAGTCTAAAAAAATATCCATGTTAAAATATACAGACTTAGACTACTCCACGGAAAACATTAAATGATGGAGATGTAACATAACCAGTACCCAATTCTAACCCAAATAATAACCTAACCTAAACGTAACCTTAACTCGTCTGACCTAACAGTACCTAACCTACTGTTCCCTAACCCTTACCTAACCCAACCTATCCAGCCCCTTATCCTAACCCTTCCCTAATTATAACCATGCCAAGCCTCTCTAACTCGTTCCTAACCTCAAGCAACCCACGAACACTTGTACGAACATGAAATCGGTGACAGGACAATGGACAAGCAAAAAAATTGTGTATTCGGCCCAAAAGCCTATCCATGTTAAAAAGTTTAAATAGAAAAAATTGAATCATGGATATGTAACCTAACCCCTTCCTAACTCAAACCGTATCCAAACTATAATACTAAGTCAAACCCTGAACCCTAAAATAGCCAAACCCTATTCTTTAACCAAACCTGATAGTTCTTTGGCCAACCTCTAACATTGTTTACTTAACCAAACTTAACTCAGTCCATGTGCTCTCTCCCTGGTGACGTAAAATCGATGACGGAAAATAATCACGCAAAACATTATATATCCATCCCCGAAACATATCCCTTTATGGCTTTATGGTCTTAGAGCAAGACGAGCATTAGCAATTTGGTTAAAAAGAAAAGGGGAAATCGCGTAAGTTTAGTGATACAGAGTTTAGATTGGCGCTAAATAAATCATTGTTGCCAATATACGGGCAGAATCAAGCAGCAACAACACTGCACCCGCCCTAAAGTAACCAAATTGGTAAAGTTGGCATTGCTCTGAAGCAACTTTGGGCCGAAAGAAAGGGTTAAAAATGTTTAGACTAGGCCACTTCAAGGAAAAACATTAAATGAACGAGACGTAACCTTGCTCATACCGAACCCTAAAATAACCTAACCCTAACTTGACCGATCCCTGCACCAACCCTAAACTTCCTTACCTAATCTAAGTCAACTCAAGAGCACTCCCTGCGAGAGAAATTAATGTAACCTAACTCATCTCTAACTCTAATCGAGCGTTGTATCTCAACATATTATTGATGATGGGTGTTGGTCTGCGAGTTATTATACTATTTATTATTATTAAATATTATTTTCACAGTTTTTCCATAAAGGTATTTTTATATTTATTGATTTTCAGGCCTCACTTGCAAACCTTATAGTTCGTGTATTATATATTTAAAGTAGTATTAATATTTAAAAAAAATAATAACAATAAGATTAATGAACAATTTAGTAATAATTTTATAAAGGATGTGTTCATCAGTACATATTAAGTGATGATAAATCATTCCATGACAAAACTCAAGCCCTCGTTCACTTAATCCTAAGCCGAGTGAATGGAGTCGGCAATCGATTTGTATACAAGGTGGTATTAACAAATAAATGTAATGTTAGAGTTTCTGGAGTTTTTCTTTTTTCTTTTGTAATTGAAATTGATTTATGAATACTAACATTTATTGTTAAAAAAAACTGGTTCCATTTTATTACAACGGAAATCCAAATGGATAAAAACCATAGGAGATTGTCATTGTTTTGTATGTTCAAAATACGATTTATTACCTTTGATTTTGAATAGAAAAAGTATTGTTAAAACGAAAGGAATGTTTTTTCTTTCAATTTTTCGTTTGTAATATTATATCATTCGTGTACACAAGTTTCGCTGGTCAGTCATGGACTTTTTTTGTTACATGGAGTTCATATAAGACCGACATTTTCTGGAATATTAATAAAGACCGAATGTACGAAATTGATTTTGTTCATTGCCTTCCTTGTAAAATTAAAAAAACTTATTTGCCAAGTTTGAAAAAATTTTAGTTTGGAATTTTATTTTTATTTACGTTACGACCCGCTAAACATTGAATTTCAAAAAACAACAGGGTCAAAAGTTAGAATTTTTTTAAACAAACTAATGACAAAATCCGTTTACATAACAACATTGAAGCCGTATAGAAATGGGAGTTCAAATAAATTTGGACAATTTGGTATGCCACGTGTAACAACAGCCTGGAACTTTACTAATAATTAAATTCACTAATTTCGTGGTCCGCTTGACCAATTAAAATATTACAATTAAGGTTTTTAGTTGAGATAAAAAAAAGTCAATGGCACGAGCGGGATTCGAACCCACGATCTTCGGCTTGATACGCCGCTGCTCTACCACTTGAGCTATCGTGACCTCGATCCACTCGGACACCAACCTTCCATCTCAACCGCACCTTTCGAATTTTCCCTCCTTTTTGCTGATTACACGAACACATTTGAAGTGCCAATTACTTTTTTATCTCAATTAAAAACCTTAATTAATTGTAATATATTAATTGGTCAAGGGGACCACGAAATTCGTGAATTTAATGATTAAAAATGAAGTATACTTCACTAACGCTCTCCGTGGCCATTTCTTTTGTCGTCGAGAATCCAACCCGATTACACGACATTTGAAAAATGGCAAAAAGGAGGGAAAATTCAAAAGTTGGGGTTGAGATGGAAGGTTGATGTCCGAGTGGATTGAGGTCACGATGGCTCAAGTGGTCGAGCAGCGGCATATCTAGCCGAAGATCGTGGGTTCGAATCCCGCTCGTGCCATTGACTTTTTTACCTCAACTAAAAACCTGAATTAATTGTAATTTACTAATAATTTTATATCTAACCTGGTGGCGGATAAACATGCTCAGAGGTACATATTGACTTAATGTAACAGCTAAAAACAGAAACGATGTTGTCTGAACCTTGAGGATGGACGCTACTGGAGAAAAAAAGAAAAAGTTAGATCTGAAGACACTGGACGAGAAATATAAAGTTTTAAATTTATCAAGGAGAATGGAATAATGCACGTTATTAACTGGTTTAGGAGAATCAATATGGAGATGGTTAGAACAGGTAGATATAGTACAAGTGTAAGTAGGTATTGTATATCAGAGAATAAACGATTATCTGTCACATCTAGATTCAGTGTCGACTGCGGCCTTGGAGGTTTTTTGTTAAAATTTCCAATGCTCCACATTGTTATCGAAGGAGAAGACTCCAAGAATAGGCCAATCAATGAACAATGGGAACTAGGGAGGAGATACAAGCAGATGCTACTACTCCAAATTATAATTTCTTAACAAGTAGGTATCAGAAAGGGAAGAGTGGCCCAAAGGAATATCTCTGAAAGCGAATACTTACTGGTATATTAATGGCTCAACAACGGTTAGAGGGACAGGAGCAAGAGTCCTTCACATGAATCCACATACCGATCTGACTTTAAACTTACGTAAATACGCTATAACTTTCCAGTCTAAAATTATAGCATTTAAACACGGCGCCAGAGAAATAAAAAGGCTATAAAGATTGGGAAGAGCCCCATGACGGAATTGTACGGAAGCCCTTGCAGAAATTGAAACCAATGGCCTGACCTCTGGCGGTCACTTGGTATTCGGGACATAAAGGCAAAGAGAAAGTGGGCATATTGGCCAAAAAGAGCCAATATGACTTCTATAGTCCACAAAACTAGTATCTTGCCACAGAAAAGGATACACCCAATAATTCTTAATGAGTCCAAAACTTGGAACAGATTACAGAGAAGGGCCAACCGCAAGACTTACAAAAGAATTGCTGGAAGCCAACCGCAACAGAACCAACATTATGGTTGGACTCCTAACTGGGCATTGCCGCCTAAGAAGAGACATGCTAAGGTCGATGTAGGATAGGAGTTCAGACAGAAGAAGTTCTGTGCAGATACAGCCAAGAAGAAGATAAGACCGCAGAACACTTTTTTGTTTCTTGAGGGTCGTAGGTGTAGGTTCTTGCTACTAGGAAAGAAAAAGCCGAAAGCAAAATCCTACACTAAGCCGCTGGCAAGGCTATGAAAGTGGATTAACAAGTTGAAGTCATCCAGTGATTTATGAAATCTACTCAGGTGGAGGTACAAAAGGTCTCATGGCCACCTCTTTTATTGCTATCCGTCTTGATTTGAATTTTTGTCTGTCACGCTGTTAGTCTTTTTTAAGAAGCTATAACGAAACTTTTCACTCATAATTTATTTTTACCAGTAATTAAAACTATAAAAAGGATCGCAATGAGTGTGTTTGCCGTGCTGTAGGACGCCTCAAGAGTAATAGAATAATTTCTTGCGCCTCAGTGCATTCCTCGTAAAAGAGAAGAATGCCGCACGCGCTCTATTTATTCCGACAAAAAAAGAAGAGGGAAATAAAAAAATAATGGAAAGAAAGAAAATACGACCTCCAGCAGGGCCAAGCTCTCTAATTACTGATGGTGAAAGGCGTTTTAATTAAAACTCAGATGAGGTTCGTCCGTTTAAGGAGAAAATGAGGGAACAACCGGCTCACCCCCCCCCCCTACGCGGTTAGAAAAACCCAGAGCCTTTCCTTTTTTCTATTATAACAAACAATTACAAATTTCCTGGCAATTAGTTACAAAGAAGAAAAAATAGTAGTAAAAAATAAGTAGCTGACCCACCAGGGAAATCCTCTTACCACCAATTACTCTGGACGTTATATAAAAAAAATTATATGTTAAAAACCAAGGAGGATAAGAAAATTTAAAAAAACAAAGGACTTTTCAGGATTTCCTCAAAGCCAAGACAACAAAAATACACAACTATAAAAAATCTTAAAACGCAAACTCAAAATCCAAAAATTAACCAACAACAGAAGACTTGAACAACTAGGAGAAAGGTTGTTCGATATGGACCACCAAGGGTCTAATTGAAGGGTGCAATTCCTTGTCTCCATACTGAGAGCGCGCAGGAATGCCACCCAATTTAAAAATTATGCTTGAGCAAGGCAGCGAGTATTTGGGTCCCCTGTTCCGAGGAAACGGGGTTGTCCTATTGTATACAGTAATAATAGTTGTCTATACCTAGCTTGTACCGAGAGTGAATGTATTTATTACCGTGAATGTGTGATGTGAGAAGGCCGATGGCGGAATATCGAGTACATCTATCCTCAATTAGGTTAATTGTAAAATATGCGTGAAGGTTGTGTCGAGAGTGAATGTATTTATTAGTGTGAATGTGTGATGTTAGAGATTCGATGGCGGAATTCGAGTACCACATCGACCCTCAATTAGGTTAGTTGTATAATATGTAAAGGGTGATCGAGGAATATCGTGTACTTTACCCAAACTAAATGAATGTAATGTAAATAGGAGTGAATGTATTGAAGACGTGAGTACGAATGGGTATGGAACTGCATGCGTTGGGTGCTAAATTGACTTAGCTGTTAATAGCACCTGGAGCCCAACCTCGGTGGCTGGACGGATCAGATTGAGGTCTGCCCGAGGATTACCAACATCATGGGTCGGGGGTCGTGGGTTCAAGTCCCGCACATGTTACTAATTTTTCATCTCTACCTTTTACAAAAAAAGATAAATCAATTTAAAAAATTACTTTTATTAACTAGGACCAAAAAAGTATATATATATAAAGTAATATTGTAAATTAATTTGAATTTTTAAAGAGGAAAACTTTTTGGACGCTTTTGCACTGGATTTTAAAATGCGATTATGATTTTACGACAGACATAAAAAAGTTAATTGAACTAGTTTTTATTTATTTAATCCGTTTTCAAACATAGAAATATCAAATGTCGAAAAGCCCGCGTTATGATGATTTGTCTAAAAAGTAATTATAATGGTTGTGATATTAAAGCTTTCTGCAAATCATGAGAGCACCCACTTCAAAACGGAATTTTTTATCAAAGGAGATTGGCCATAACGGGCTTTCTAAAAGAAAAATAAATAACATTTTCAAACATGCGGGGGGGGAGGTAAAAAAAGTACATAATCAACAGAATTTACGTTTAAACGGTTAAAGCCTTTACAGACAGTGAGTGAAAAATAATTCTGTGTACGGACAAAAGAAAGTATATAGTTTCATTTATTTTAGGGAGTCTATAATCCTACAAGGATTTTTTAAGGCAAATTTTGCCCTTTTCGATATTGTATTGTAATCGATACCTTTTGGTTCTTAGAATGTTTGGTTTTATAAATGTTTTATGATGGCCCGTAGCCAGTAATGCCTCGGTGAACAAACAGCGAAAATGTGCGGCCAGATAAATATTTTCTTCACCTCTTTCGATACTCAATCGACAATTCACGGATGACCGGCTGAACGGGCAATTATTGAAATTGATAACACTGTCGCAACAGGATCCGCGTTTAAGCCCAATGTTATACAGGGTTTGGTACACGACTGTATCCTTGCTTATAGGAAATATACACCAACTAATTAATTTTAACAGCAGCTTTTACACAATGGGCGCTTTTCAGATTATAGCCGTAACTGAAATCGCGTAAACACTGAAATCACCGGGAAAGAAGTAAAATTCCCAGGGTTATACGAATTAATTATATTAAAAATATCAAAATTTAAGTCCTCCCTCGTTTTTTAAATGTTTTTATATCAAAACATATTAAATCACAGTCACAGGTTAAAAGAAACCAATTTGAGAGATTAATTTACATTCATTTACAATTACATTATTGTTTGAAGATACCTGGCTGGTTTTCGAGATGTGAAAATGTATACAAATCTTGGGCAGTATTGTTAGAATGTATCGAAAGCTTGGTGTGGAACTTATGGGAGCGGGATCGGTTCAGCTCATAAATACAAAGAATTTTGAAGGATTGGTTAAACGGAATGTTGATTAAATTTAAATTTTAAAAACGTTCCACTCCTTATAGTACAAAATGGTACTGAACAAAGTAGCGCACTGGTGTCTTGTATAGAGTTCGATGAGTTTTGAA